AGGACCACGACACGTTTCGGTAAAGGAAACTCAAGATACCATGTCATACGTTACTTATTATTTAAATTGTAATTGAACTGTACTCATATGAGCAGTCGTGGCCGAGCGGTTAAGGCGTCTGACTAGAAATCAGATTCCCTCTGGGAGCGTAGGTTCGAATCCTACCGACTGCGAACTTTTTTATTTTATTGCAAAAAAAATAATAATCAGATAAAGAAATTAGTCGCCATTAGCATATTTATTTTATTTTATAAATACACGTGTAACTTTATTTTAAATTAGCAAATCTTTCTGCCTCTCAGTATAACAGCGTGAATGTTTACATTCGTCATTAATCTTCATATTAGATTATATTATAACTTTTAACATCATTTTGGTAATTTCAACAAGACTTTTTTTGAGGTCACAATGATTTGCGTTCGTACGTAATTTCTCGAAATAAACTTAACAAATCTATAATTCACGAATGTTTTGGTGTCCGAGCCAACTGTGACAGAGATTATGAAAACGAGGCGACAAAAACTGTTTGTAAACCTAATTGATTTTAAATACCATTACGAATGAGAAAAATGTTTAGTTGAAATGAAAATAAAACTGAAATAAGTATACCTATTACAAAAGAGAACATTGAAAGAGCCTTTTCAAACATATGTAGAATACAATAAAATTATTGACTTTAAAATATTATAACAGTGAAATTAATAACAAAATACAAGTATGTACACTTCCCTTTTCTCTTTCATTCTTTACTGTTAATAGTTGTCAAATTAAACAATGCCGTTACAATATTCAAAGCTAAAACAAATGTCACACACAACAAACAAATAAACAAAGCGAAACAATTTATTACAATCGCCATTGAAACGCTAGTTAATAGTTCAGTATTATAAGATTCAAACTTTATAGAAGCTTGGTTAGCTGCGAGCAGATGCGCAAGTAAGCCTACTAAGAATGGAAGACAGGACATGACAGCCCAGGACTGTTCGCACGTACCGCCAACATTTCATGTACTACTTTAAGCTATAATTGTATAGCCAATTGATATTCCTACAGTTTTTCCTCGTAGACCTAAATGAGAATTCAACTGGTTTCGGTGAATCTTCTGTTTATGCATTTCCAAATTGTGAATCTCTATTTTTCCGGCATCATACACCCCTGTCGCTACTCCCGTTAACTCCAAGCGGTCTTCATAGATCACTTTAGAAATCAATGCTTTAGTCCACTACTCCGGGCTATTATAAAGTTTGAATGGTACTATATCCACACAAACGAGAAGGAGGTGACCGCGATGTGTCGGTGAAATGCGAAAGCGACCTCGCTCGGGCTAACGGTACACAGTATTGTTGCACTAGTATGGAGGCTGTAATTACTTCTCTAAATGACTAATACAAAACACTATGCAATGTAAAAGAGAGTCAAGCATCAGCATGTGACTTATAATCTACAGGTCCTGCTCGAATACTGCCTTATTCAACGTTTTTCGATTTTAAAATGTCATATGTGAATGGTGAAGGAAATCATTATAATACTGTACATGTCTGTTAAGAATCTCAATGAAATGTGTGAAGTAAGTTGACTACGGCTTAGTCAATCCCCAATTTAGGGTAGACTCTGAGTGCCTCAGTGGGGACGTATAGTGAACTAATGATAATGATGTTTTTTTTAATTTTCTATAAATACTAAATAGACTAACGAAGCTAATTAAGGAAAGTCTTTTTTTTTAAATCTGTCGGTAAATATTACAACGTTCCACGGTATTTTCTCTTTTACAAATGTACTAAGCCCTTTAAAACAAGAATAGAAATAGAAAATCTTCAACTGCTGCTGTTCCCTCCTGTGGTTTGTAAACACGAGATTCATCCACCGTAGCCAGTCACGTTTATGTACGTTTTTAAAAGATTGTTGTTAATCGTTGGTTATTAAAACGTGGTAAATTTCTTCGTACAGCAATAAATGCAAAGCAAAGCCTTCTTTTTCTAACAATTTCAGCAATTGAATTCTTCAAAATTTCCAGTTTCCTAACATTCAAAACAAACTGCCGTTCGGGATCTTCACGGTAACTAAAGGAACGGACTAATGGATGTAGTGTTAAACTATATGAAAGTACTAAGTGGATGTTTAAGTGTTCATTAGATGACTCTGAGTGTAAGTGACAACATGGCGTCCACACATCTCAATTAAAGAAAGTGTCACGCGAGGCGAGTCGAGACAGACGTAACGCTAGTAAGTGACCCCGTTATGATCACCTTTCGCCGGACTTTCTCCGCTCGCGTGGCCCACTTCCACACCGCCTGTTATGTAGGCATTACCATTATGTCGACCGTGAACCGACGCCAATGCTTTCTTTTCCCTACAATAACAAATGAATCACTGTTTTTAAGATTTATTTATCTGATAGGACTACATGATCGATCAATAAGGATAAGGTGGGTTAACATAATTAAAAAATAAATCTAACTGGAAAACACCAGAAATGCAAATAAAATACAGGAGACATGTTACTAAAAACTTAAGATTAACCATTTTTTTTATAAAACATATATGAATTCATTCATAGATTTCGATAAATATAACTCTGAGGTGAATATTAACTAACCTTAATTAAATTACGGGTAAATTGTTTTTATAGATAAAGCATTTTTTCTACTTCATATACCATTTGTGTTGTCAACGGGAAAATTATATTAATTAACTTAATATTGTAGGTTTTTTAAATAATGCTAGTTTAGCAAAAACGATACTAACGCCATCTCTGAATGGTTAGTGAGCAATAGAACAGAATTGTATCGAGAGAGGTCCGCCGGATGTCCCAGATGCATATCCCGTTAGGCGGAGAAAGTGGCTTGCGGGAGTCGAGCAGGGCCGCGCGGGGGGCAGGGGACTGTTGCACCGCCTATGCAAATTATGCAATTACCGCTCGTTTGAAAATGCCCTGAAAACAAACGCTTTTCATGTCCATAGATTACTATTTACAATTGTAAAGTGTCAGGTTCATATTATCATAGTTAAATAAATATTATTGTAATCAATGTTTTGATGTTTGTATTTCTCCTATAATTTAAAACACTAAACTACTTCATAGTTTATGAAGAAATTTGGGGCTTCAGAAACCAAAAAAAAAAGTTTGCAGTTTGCATCCTAAAATTTAAAGGTATGTGTTAATTTATTTGGATAATATTTTTGAGTCGATTTTAAATTGTATTTGGCTAATCTTCCTTTTGTGATATGCCTGTTACATTAGTGAAATATTAAAACACGCATCTTATAGCTCATTATACAACTATCGTAATTTTATTATTTTACGCTATCTGATGTATCGAGTTATCCCAAATACCTGTTTTATGGTAATTTGATTGGCTTTCTAGAACGCTGGCGGTTACAATGATTTAAATAACTGTTGATCGCATTGCGATCTCACAATCCATTAATTAGCACACTTTATCGACGCAATAATTAATCACTGGAGAAAATGAAATAATTCGAACATGTCGCATGAACGCCGGGGAAATGCATGCTTATGCAACTAACTAATGCAATGCGAGCGATGTATAAAATCAAACGTTTCTAATATTACATACACACGTCTTGGCTTTCTTCGACATACTCCCGAGTAAAATGTTGCTCGCTTAAAAAATAGTGCTTTCTTTTTCAATGTCGACCGAGCGAGATGGAAATACTAAGACTGTAGGATAGAAAGAGACTGCAGTTGTTATGTTATTGCGTACAACACCGTGTTCGGCGAGCAGCGGTGCAGATGTCAAATTTCCCGCCAAACGATTCTGTTTTGTTGCACTGAGCAATAAGGTTGTTTATTTAAGCGATAATAATCAGCGTCGTCGCGTCGGCTCGCGTGCGGTGAAATGTGGGACAATCGAAAGCCTTTCTCCGTTCGGTGGTTAGGTATTTTATTCCGTTAGTTTTTTCGCGGCCGCCATTACACCAATATGGCGGGGTGGCGGCATCATTTTTTCGCTTTGTCACGTTAGATCATTCTCGTTAGATGCTGTTGGAAAGCTGCGGGCTGCTTCGCGGAATCTAAGTCGCATAACTGTACATTGTGAGCGGGGAAATGATGTAATTCTAATAGATGGTTTTGCTTACTTATCTTATTTCCTCTTCAATTTGTAGATAGTTTATTGATTCAAATTTAAATAAATTTGCATATTATTATTACAAATGGAAATTCTGCCGAGTCGTTCAGAAATATCTTGTCTTTCTTTCTTTTTAAAAATGTTATAATTTTATTACACCAACTGTAGTCGCAGTGGAAGCTATCTTTAATTTTATTTGTACTAAAAATAAACATTAAATTTTGTGATATCACTGGTTTGTTTTTAAATGTTGTATTAATATTTATTTAGGTTAGTCTTAATGCTGTCTGTTCGCAATCGCAAGAAAAAGTATTAAGGATGTTTTATTTAAACCTGACCCCGTTCGTGCTCTGAACTTGACCATTCTTTACATGAGGTTACGTCTCACGTCGAGATTGTCGTGTTATAGGTTATTACTAGTGATGTGACGTGTAGTATTACCGGTTATAACAGTTTAAGTGCAGTTTTCTTTCCTTTTTTGGCCTCTGTACAGGATTTCTGTTCTGTCATAAATCGAAGACAAAACCTTAAATTTTATCGAGAATCTATGTTAGTGATCGCCTAATCTGTACTAATATTATTAAACATTTTGTACGTATTGAAATATCTCATAAACTACTGGTCTGATTTAAAAAAATCTTTCTCTATTAGTTACGTTTAACTCTAAAAAGTTACGTTTGACCGAGTAATACAGACTATATTTTTTATTGTTTTAACTTCACGCGGACGTAGTAGCTAGCAACAGCTTGTCTAGATAATATAATAATTACAAAGGTTTTGTAAAACAAAAAATGTTTTTTTAATTTACAATCGTCAGGAACTTTTGCGTTGTTTCTTTTTATTCTTATACTTTTTGCTATTTTAGTCGAAAATTTAAATTTAGTGTTAATTTGGTATTAAATGTTACAGCATAAAGGACACACTGCACATCCCTAAAGGAAGAGCAAATGCTTTGTTCACGACGAGGCCGAAGTGTGGCGCGTCCTCAAAACTTACTCCAGTTTACATGGCGGATGCTTGCACCAAAGAATGGTTACATTTATCATAAAACAGAAGAATAACGCCTCAGTAGTGAGTACTGACAAGAGATATGAATAAAATAAATTCTCTTTTCTAATACGAGTTTTGATGTCCAAACCTTGTTTAACAAAGTCGAGTCTTTGAGTATATTTTTTATTTATTTAATCACGCCAACAGCATACGAATATAAAAATTATTGCAAAAACACTATCTTACTAATATTATAAATGCGAAAGTTTTAAAGGATGTTTGTTAGAGTTTGTAGCCTAAACGGCTGAACGGATTTCGATGAAATTTGGCATAGATGTAGAGGATAGTCTGGAAGAACACATAGGCTACTTGTATTTTTTTAAATTTCGCGCGGACGGAGTCGCGAGCGAAAGTAGTTTATTATAAAAAATAGTAGCTTCCCGCTGTCTTTCTGTCCTTTTGTATGCTTAGATCTTTAAAACTACGCAACGGATTTTGATGCAGTTTTTAATATCTTATAAGTGATTCAAGAGGTAGGTTTGTTTGCATAATATAGTATAAAAATACTGATATTTTACACATTTCTACTGTCACGTAAATATACACATTTTCGTATCAACATTAGACCTATTCGAAGCCGGGGCGGGTCTATAGTTTTGTTATAACAAAAAACGTATAAGCAAAATAACTGGTTATTCTATTTTTCGCATTGACAAGAAAAAACATAAATGTGTTATGTTTTGGTAAGATTTACGACGCTCCCGCATTTTACAGTCAAAATTAGTTATTCTCAAAATGTGTCAAGTGTTTAAACACCAACGCTCATGTTATTGAAATGACGTAATTCTCTAAATACAAGTCATAACCTAAATACAAAAATAAGTCTACAATTTTATATAAAAAATTCGTGAATGTAAAATATTTTAAGACTTTGACCAATATTATATTGCTTGATGACTCTACATGTTTTTCAGGACTTGAATGTGTGTGTGACTAGGGATGGGATGTCATCGCGATTGGCGCAAACGATGCCGCGTATGAATATATTCCCATAACTCACTGACATCTTCGTTATGAACTATGGTATTCCAATATATTGGTTAGTAAGAGAACGTGCGTTTATCAAAGGACATACTCATAGTAACTTTCGGTAATAAGCTACAAGACGTTTAGAATCCCAGATGTTTTATATTTTTATTTGTTAACTAGCTTTCGCCCGCGGCTCCGTCTGCTTGGAATTAAAAAAAAACAAAAGTAAATAGCCTATGTGGTCTTCCAGATTATGCTCTAGATCTATACCAAATTTCATCGAAATACGTTCAGCCGTTTAGGCTACAAACTTTAACAAACATCGATCCAGCAATCCATCTAATCTTTCGCATTTATAATAATTAGTAAGAGTAAGATTTAAAAGGTTTAAAACATTCACAAAAGTCAATTTTTATAGCAAATTTTTGCCGTTATCGTGATCCAAATAATGTCATCGAATCCAGTTACAAAATCATTATAAAAATGGGTCTACATAATAAATAATTGCCACATCCTACGTAACAGTCGATTAAGTAGCTATATACGTGACTTTGAAACGGCCGCAATATAATTTCTCGTCTCAAAATCAGAAAGCGCGGCAAACTTACACCGGCTATCCTCCTACCACGACATGTTAGCAACAGTAAATCCAATGCTGATAATTCTATTTATACGATATACATTGCTGCTATTTTATGATAGACAATAAATTGAATAGAAAATAAAGGGCAATGTGTATCGTACATACAGGTTGCAGTAATAAGGTTAGTTATTAAACCGGTTACAGAATCGTGGCGAAAATGTCGAGGCAATGTGGGTCACTGCCGCGCGCATAACGGCCCGCGCTCGATGCCCGCCCGCGTAACGTTACGTGTGGGAAATTATATTTGAATTTGGAACGCCAACTTTTTTTTTTCACCGCTTTTATCGGAGTGTTGCCATTGTTCTTTCACATTGTATTCGTTTGTGGAGCATATCTGGCGGTATTACATTGATGACAACTTTATACCGTTAACGTTGGTGTGTAACCGCCTTTATAATTTTTTTAATTTTGGAAAGACAGCTATATAAAGTGTAAATTAAACCTTGTTTATTATTTCTTTCAAAAATAAATTTATAAATGCAGAAATATTTTTAATATTTGTTAAATCTCCGTTTCCACATAAAATTCAAGTGCGATCGGTGTACGTTCAGACATTAAATATATCTAGTTAAATCTAGCCCAGCGCAGTCTAGACTAGCGGTATTTATCAATAAGCACCCACTCAGCCGCTCGGCCGATCCCAACTTTCCCCAGTTTGAGATCTCTGAGCTGTAACTAATAACTATCAATGTGAACTGCGACTCAACCATCTTGATATAATAAATGCATTTCTGGTAACTAAAATATCAAAACCAAATCACTACATCTAACTATAAATTAAAGCCAAAAACTGGAACCCAGTTTGAGACCAAGCAATATGGTTTATATTATAAATAAAACAATAACCAATTACTGTAAATACACATCACTTAAACTTTTAAAAGGTTTTTTTTTAAATTACGTTAATTAAATAACGCGAAGTATCAAGATGCATGCATCCAATGCATTTAGCAAAGTGCACGGCCGCTTTCACTGCGCCTGCACGAGCTTCCCGCAGACGAATGTCATTAAATTATTAAAACATACTCATAGATATACTAAAGCCCAATTAGCAGAACGCAAATTCATTAAAAAAAATAGAATTATTGAAATTCGAACATGTTTATTTTTTTTTCAATTTTGACGCCTAATGTTTTGGCTGCAAAAGTTGATTTATATCTTCTGTTCCTTTTGTGACTATTTGATGCTTGAGTTTATCTTAGGAAGGGCGTTAAATTTTATGCAAAATTGCATTTACTTAACTATTATTTGCAGTTCTAAAAAATCTACTGTAAATGTGTGTTAAAATTCAACGTTCTTTTCGAAATTATTTATGTTAAGTTGTCAGCAACAAATGTCAATTCGAATGTAAATTCTAAATAGAGGTTATCATCTCTGGTTATCATAAACGGCTTTTCTAACTATAGTAACTATCTACCGAATAGTTATTTTTTACATAAGCAAAAATTAATGTTTGCGTAACATTAGCATCGAATTACCAAAGGCGTTACGTTCAATAAGTATTATTTTCCGCGCTTCGCTTCCTTCCCAATTTGAAACGACACAGGCTGGGGCCAACAAACTCACGTTTGAATAGAAAAGAAAAAACCAACTGTAACATTTCCTTCATTAACCGCCATTTTCCGCTCATGTAATATTAGCGTAAACTTTACAACCAGCTTTCCGTATGCGTAATTGGCAATGGCATTGCATGCGTATACGCAACAACACACAGATGCACAAACACACACAGATGTAATATCAATGCGTATGAAAGTCTAACATCCCCCCTCTCTCACACAAATGTATTTCAATACGTACTATATCTGTACGCTAACACACACAAAAACAACAGTAGAGACGATTCACAGATTGGTGTCGGTGTACAGGTTATAAAATATAGTGTAATTTTTACATCAGTGTGGGTAAAGAAAGGTGTTTAGCTAGGTGAAATGGGCACAGGCCATGTATGCTAGATATGACATAGTTAAACGATTTACAAGCGCTGTGCTCATCCACTGACAGCCAGAATGGTAGACTATTGATGAATGTTTGCAGTTGTTTATTGTGTTGTCAATCAGTATACAAGAGATAGTTCAATATTGAAGTAGCTGATGCTGAAGTTATGGCAATAAGGACTGAGAAGAGACCTTACAGATTATATAATTTGAAATGGACACACTCTTTGCTGAGTACATTTATCGAATAATGGATTGTTTTTACTACCGATGTTTGCACCGTTAGTGATAAACCCTAAGCTGTATAAAATTTTTGCATTTATTTCTATAAGATTTTTTACTGAAATCAAATCAAACAATCTTCTTCATACCAATGTAGTTTAGTTTTAACAGATTATAAGCCAGTATTTAAGCTAATGAATGCAAATTCCATTAGACTGTTTTCCAGGACATTATCCTCAAATTCGTCAAAATATTCTAACCATAAATAAAAATTAAACATGTTATTTTACTGTTTTACTCACAGAATCAAATGCGAGAGCTTATTTAGCTCTTGCAACTATGTATTGGTATGATTTCATTTGATATTATGAAAGTTCGTCGGTGCCACTTTTCTCGGTTTTCTCTCGGCCAGTGAAAGGGCCGGTTTGTTCTAAACTGCACCGTCTAGAAGGTTCCACGTCGTGACTGTTCATAAATTGACAATCTAATCGTTTTGCTTCCATATTGCTCATTCCTGTATTATTTTTTTCTTTGAACGTTTAAACCTTTCCATTTCTATAGCACGATCTGTCTTTTTTCTTGTTATTCAACACTGCTTCGCAACTTATTGCCTAACTTCTGTTGTTTGTATGTCCTTGTTTTGTCTTATTCTTTTTCTGCAGAAAGAAAGAGAGCTTGTACAGCTGACAGCTTCGTCTTTTATGTATTTTTTAGAATAGCAGAGTAATTGTGAATTATTACGCACAATGAACGATTTATAACCAAACAAATGGTCCTTCGAGCCGGATCTGAACCGGTGAACAAAGAAAAAAGGGTAGCTGACAAACGCGGCTTGCGGACAGACAGACAGATAAAAAAAAATTAGATGCGACTTTCTTTATCAGCAACATAAACACATCGTCTTTCCGAAATTTTGATTTTTTTTTATGTCACAAACAGACACTACAATTGTATTATATGTATAGAAGATATCTATTTATATCTATAGATAGATGATTTATCTACATAGCTTTAGTTTCCTTTACTTTATATAAATCTAATATATTTATAAGTTAACATAACATCAGTTAACTCAGTCAATTCGTCGAAGTATTGTCTAAAGGTCAGGCGTGTTCAGAACGTGTTCTGCGGTCTTTCTTGCAGAGAGGGGGGACACCTAGACCTTTCTCTCAAGTTCTGGGTCGAGCCGGTAGCTTATGTAAGCTATGTTTACATTTGTTTATTTCTTATTGTTCCATTTGTTGCTGTTTTTCGAAACTATTCAACGAACGTTGTCGTTTTTTTTCTAGGTTCTTTTGGGCAATAGGAGGTTAGCATTCTGATTGTATAGCCTAATTTCTGTAATTGTGTACGTGAAGGACTTGTTGTTAGTATCAGTAAAATTTTGATAAAACTTCCAATAAGAAGAACATATTTGATTGAATAAAAAAATGGCTTGGAAAGAAAAAGTGTACAATAACACGACATTGGTTATTTATACATTAAGTTGATTAATCGAAGTTATTAAGTAAAATAAACAGGTAGTCATAACAAATAATTAAAAAATAATACTAAATCGAGAAGTGCAGCTATGGGCCGAGAAAGCAGGGCCCTACCGCTTTCGCTTCACGGACTAGTTGCCCGCACGCGCCCGGTGCATGCGCAATCGCCATTCAATAATACAGATTAAATATTACTGCAAAATATCATTTTTTTTTTAAGGAGAGGAAAGAAACAAGCAAGCGACTTACATTATTTTAGTCACTATTATTAAGAACAAAAGTAACAAGTCATATTGAAATTATGAGTAAAATCAAAGAATTGAGAAAGTAAGCAAGTTAATACTTAAATATCATGATGGTTATGATAAAAAAAATCCTAGAGAAAATTTTAAAGTTCCGCTGCCGAATTCAGAGTCCTACAGGGAAAATATTTCTAGGTAGAATGTTTGAAATTTTTGAATCTACCAGGATACAGTTTGTTAGAAAGATATTTTAAGATAAGTAAGTAAAAAAAGTCTAATAGTTTTTCTACTATTTCATATAATGTAAAATATGTAACAATTTATTTAATTAAATAACTTATATTCAATATTGCTATTTTAATTTGAAAGGCGCAAACAGTTGATTTGGTTTCAGTGCCATCTATCCTTGCCGTGGTAAACTAAATGGAGTTATTTAACTGTTGAGAAGAAGTTGAAGAAGATTTTGATTTTTTTGAAAAGTGAATATAATTTAAAAAACGTGAAAATAGTGTAATAAAACTTTTCGTGAAACCAACAGTTTAATTGCAATTTATTAAACAAGATTAGATAGCAACACCTTCACAAATGTATGTTTTATATTCTGGCCACCCGAATCAGGTCAATCAAGGAAGTGCAGCAGTCAATTTGATTGCCATTATTGTTTTTGTATTATTTTATTAAATGAAATGATATTAGATAAATCGGTCGGCAGTGAAAGTTTAATGCAAAATGATTTGGAGATAAAAATATGTTATGTCCGGCGGTAGCGCGAGTCAGTTTATCCGGATAGCAGAAAAACCGCAGGCAGGTGTGACAGTATATTGAATACCGCATAGATTTCCTTTTTATTGGAATTAAATTCGTATTAAATTTACTATATTTAGTTAATACGAGATCTGGTGTAACAAGAAGAATATGTATTGAAGATTTCTTAAATATTTGCGTTTAAAAATTTTTTACTTTAAGTGACCCAGATTCGGTGCCGTGTGGGTTGACCTATCGGATTTGAATGCGGACTAAGCTATGATGTTATTTTTAGGATACGGCTTTGCAGATAATTAAATATTAATAACGGCTGTTTGATAAGATGCACGAGAAAATCGAAGCACAATACAAATCGCGATTTATTCCTAAAAGAGAATTGTAAGTCTTTGTTTCATTTTTGATGTTTTATAAATGTCTTTTCTTTTCTACCTTTTCGAAATACACTTTGGTTTTAATGACACTCGGTTCAAATAATTATAATAACTGAAAGAGAGTGTATTCTAAAATAATTCTTTTGTCAAAATAGAATTCATAAAAGACTATACTTTAAATAATTACAATATATTTTTGCAGATGAGGGAATCGAATATAATAGGAAATCTACATCAAGATTCTTCATAAAATAGACTTGCCCAAATAGTAAAGAAAATGGTTATTCAACATTTTTAGTTAATAATATTAATAAATTTATAATCTTTAAGACATATCTACATTAAAATGATTAGAAAATCTGATCTTCATCAGACATAAACTATAAGAATGGTAACTTAGAGATTGTCACAATATGCGTTTGCGGGGCTGAATCTGCGGGTGAAGGTAACAGGGCCCCAGGCGCTAGGGTCTGAGAGACTTGGCAGTTATGAAGAAGCAAAATGTTCGCACCCTATCGTTAATTGTGTGCACATTTACTTACCTGCTGGTTGGTGCTGCTGTTTTCGATGCGCTGGAATCACCTACTGAGAAAAACAGATTTGATGTCCTACAAGGTTTGTGTTGAATTTAGTGAACATTTATCATATATAAGCTGTTGCCTTTGAATTCACCCATGCAAAATTAAAATAAAAAACGTAATCAGTAGCCTATCTGTTCTTCCAAACTAGTAACTTGCTGGCGACCCCCTTGTTTCCATATTTTTATTTTTGCTGTATAGAGTAAGAAAGATGACAGTTTTATTATTCAGAGGTTTCTACAGTAGAATCCCACTTATAAACTACTTGCTTTCGACCTAGACTCTAGCCATGTGAAATTAAACAAAAGTAGGTAGTGTGTTCTTCCATACTATCCTCTACATCTGTGCTGAATTTCATTAAAATATATTTAGCAGATTAGCCCACAAACTCTAAAAAGTATCCATTGCATTTATAATGTTAGTGAGATATATGTTAAAAGTTGTTATTTGTCTATTCCAGCGATAGAAGGTATGTTAATAAGGAAGTACAATTTCTCCGAAGAAGACTTCAGAGTGATGGAGTTGGTAGTGCTCAAGTCTGAGCCACATAAAGCTGGGCAACAGTGGAAGTTCACGGGCGCATTTTATTATGCCACAACTGTCTTAACTACTATTGGTAAGCAAATTAATGTTATATAGTTCCAGTAAATTTTTTTAAATGAGAATATGGCTAACTAAATTTGCCAAAAATAGCAAAGTGGAGTCTACGGTTTTGTCTTAACCGAGTTGAGTGTGTATTTTACTTCAGGCAATCCAGCTCAGCGAAAAAAAGGAATTTATAATTCACTTTTACTAGCGTGACTGTGTGTACTGTGTTTGTACTAGTGTGTCACTGACTTTGTCTGTGTGAAATTAAATTATTTTAAATATAACCCATGTTAATCACTGATAATGTAGCATTTTATTGGTGAAAGACTTTTGAAATTGGCCCAGTAGTTTTTGAGTTATTTCAATACATACAAAATTACAAATGTTTTAAATAGCAGTATAGATGTAGACAAGAGCAGAATAAAGATAATATTTTTGTATTCTCATTTTAATGGTAGAACCAGTTACAGGGTGTTTTTCTTTGTTGTGTAGTCAAAGATTTTTTTATTATTGGCAATAATCAGTTGAATGAAAAATTCTAGTATTCAATATGCATATAATATAATTTTAGTTAGTTGGACATTTTTAACTATCAAGACCATTTAAATGCAATGAAATAATAAAACCAATGAATTTCCCAGGCTATGGACACTCAACACCTTCAACTATTGGTGGCAAGTTGTTCACAATGTTCTATGCAATAGTTGGTATACCACTCGGCCTCATCATGTTCCAGAGCATCGGTGAGAGAGTCAACAGACTTAGTAGGTGAGTATATTTATCTTACTAGCATTAGTAGATTATTAGTAGAGGTTTGAGTTATGAAGGTTCTACTATACAGCAGAACCTTGATAACTCAAACCTCGGTAACTTAAAAACCTCTATAATGTCAAAAAAAATATGTCAAAAAAAAAACCCTCTATAACATAGACCCTTGATAACTTAAAACCTCTATAACTTGAAAATTGTGTTTCCTTTGGACTTTAACTTATCAAGGTTCTACTATATAATGTAAAATTTGGATGGATGGATGTTTGTAAGTGTCTGTAGCCTAAACTACTGAACAGATCTTGAAGTTTGGCATAGATGTAGAGGATAGTCTATTTTTGAAGGAAGGAATAAGAAGGAAAAGCTCATAGGATATTTTTGAATGAAATGGGGATGTTTCCTAATTTTTGGAATTGCTTTTATTATGTATATAAACCATATCTAAACAAGAAAAATAATATAATAAAATCATATACACAACATTTAATTACAAAAACACTTAACTAAAAACAACTTCTCGAAAGACCGCGAAAACGCCTCATGACATGACGTCACTTCTTTGCTAACAAACCTCGCGTCGCGGTCTGTCAAAGTCATTCAAAGTGACCAGATATAAATTGAATTAGCTATTCAAATAACTTTTACTATTTTTTTTTCGTCATAGTGATCGAAAAATTTGCTCGTAAAATATGTCGTAAAAATAAAAACACTTAATAATGGAGTTCTTATAATATAACACACGCAAACTCAATTATTGTAATCATTAAAAAAAATTATAACTACAAAATGCACTGACATTCACTGAAGTGGTCACACTGCCATGTTGTTTGCGAAGAAGCTACGTCACCGAGCTCTGATTGGTGTTTGAGATAGAGTAATGGAGGGTAAAAAATATTGCAGCGTTTTTAATTTATATTTCAATGGAGACAAACATTTAAGGTCTCCAAATGTTATTATAGGTTTTAAAATACTGTCTTTAAAATATTAAACATAAATTTATTTGAATTTGTAACATTAGGAAACATCCCCATTGTTACTGTTCCCATGGGATATATTAATTTAGTTTTTTCATATTTACTTAATTATTTAACACTTCAATGTATTTTGTAGAAATTGGACACAGATATAAAACAAAGTCTGGAGTAATACATGGGATACAATTCATCCCAGAAACAGTCAGGTCACTACGGGATATATAGGTTTTTCTTTTTAATACTGAGTGTAGTAAATTGTGGGTTACAACTAATCTATAATAATATTTATATTTTTATATGTATAGAAATAACTTAAAAACTACTAGTCAGATTTTAAAAATTCTTTTACCATTAAAAAGTTATGTTACCAGTAAGGCTATGTTTTTTATTATTTTTTTTAATTTCACTTTAATACTGAGTGTAGTAAATTGTGGGTAACGGTGAAATTAATATATGTGAAAGGTAGAATGGATGGATGTTTGTTACTTGGTTCACATCGTTTAATATTTTATTTTATTTCCATATAGACGGAGTAGATAAAGCTAGTTGAACATTATTTTCTCTTTTATAGTGTTATAATCAAAGCATTAAAGCGTGCTATGGACTGCAAGCAAACAACAGCCTCTGAGGTGGATCTGATCTGTGTGGTGACAACCCTCTCCTCGCTGACGATAGCGGGTGGAGCGGCAGCTTTCTCCACATTCGAAGGATGGAGTTACTTTGATAGTGTCTATTACTGCTTTATTACGCTCACTACTATCGGTAAGTTCGCTTAATATTACTTTTCTTTGCAGGGTTTTAGTAAATTTTACTACATACTATTATTATAAATGCGAATGTTTAGATGGATGGATGTTTGTTAGAGTTTGTAGCCTAAACAGCTGAACGGATTTCGATGAAATTTGGCAAATTTAACAGTGGTAGTACCAGTTTTAACATCTTCGCACTGTAGGGCCGGCTCGCCCTGTGTAATACCACGACCACACAGAAAACAGGCGTGAAGTGGAAGCAATTCCGCGTTTCGTCTGATGAGTGTGGTGCTGGAGGCCTAATTTTAGTCCCTTTTCCTTTCCACCCTTTTCTTAAGGGGAAAGGATGGGAGGGAAAAGTGGATTTGACGGTGGAGGAGACGCATAGGAAGGGGAAATGTCCTTTTTATGTGCGTCTCCTCCTCCGTCAATTAGGGTAGGCAACGCATCTGCAATTGCGGATGTCTATGGGCAGCGGTCGCTTTCCATTTCGGTGGATTCAGGTGGCCGCTTGCTCGTTTGTCAACTCGTTTAAAAAAAAAAAAATAGAGGTAGAAGATAGCCTGGAAGAACATATAGGCTACTCACTTTTGTTATTTTTCCACGCGCACGGAGTCGCGGGCGAAAGCTAGTTCCTCTATATTTTTGAAATTTCTTGGGGATGTATAGTGAACTGGTGATAGACGAGTAGTTAAAAGCTATTTATTCCTCAGGTTTCGGGGACATGGTGGCATTACAAAAGGATAACGCGTTGAACCGCAAGCCGTCGTATGTGATGTTCGCGTTGATCTTCATACTGTTCGGTCTGGCGATAGTGGCCGCCTGCCTCAACCTGCTGGTGCTGCGCTTTGTTACTATGAACACTGAGGATGAGAAGCGCGACCAGCAGCAAGCGGAGCAGGTATATTCAGTCATTCATACGATCATTCATTCAAACATACGATCATTCATTCATTTCATTGTTCATTCTTCTTTCATTCACCCTTTAACACGAATTTAAATTTAACGAATGGGCCGGCACGTCCGGTGAAATACCGGCATACAGAAGACAGACGTGAATGAAGCAATTCTGCGTTTCGTCTGATGAGTGTGACGCCGCAGAGGCCCAGTTTTAGCTCCTTTTCCTTACCATCCCATTTCTTATAAGAGGATGGGAAATGAACGTGGTTTTGACGGTGGAGGAGACGCATAGGAAGGGGAAATATCCTCTTTATGTGTGTCTCCTCCGTCGCTTAAGGGTAATCAATGCATTCGCTATTGCGAATGTCTATGGGCAGCGGTCGCTTCACCAATTTGGTGGATTCAGGTGGCCGATTGCTCGTTTGTCACCTAATAATATAAAAATAAATACATTAAAATTTTTGTTATTAGAAACCAGAAAAAAAATTGACTCGAAAATTGAGCTAAAAATAATAAAATAAAATCCACTCCTTTCTTAAGCATATCCTCTTTCACACAATCCATCCATACTTTCTTCGGTCTTCCTCTTCCTTTGTAGCCATTCACATTCAGTCTTAACACTTTCTGGTTTATGTCCCCCATCATTTCGTCGCATAACATGTCCATACCACGCTAACCTTTTGCGTCTCAATTTCTCCACCAATGACGCTACTTTCAAACTTCCTCTAATGTACACATTCTTAACTTTATAAAATCTTGTCACACCACACATCCATCTTAACATACCCATCTCAGCCACATGCAATCTCCTTTCATCCACAGTATAGTAATGAAGTATACTTATAAAAGTTTGGTAAAATAGTACCAAACTTTTTTAATATGCATATGACGCCATATTGTACCAAACTTTTTTAAAGTATACTTTATTACTATAAAAACAGTCTTACAAATTTTTTTTTAAATATGATGTGATTTAGTGGCAAAATTTAATCATTAAAAAGTGTCTTTTTTCAAATTCCCTTGCTAAGTTCTAAAACTCGCACTATTAGTCGAAGGAAGTGGCTTATCTAATATGGCGTCGCTGTGTTGACAATACATAGTTCATTTACGTTAGTTTATATAGAAATACACTCTTGAAGTATTTTATTGTAAACACGATATCAAAACCAACTTTAAAATAAAAAAAACTTAATGAATAGAATGATTAATTACCAGTTATTTGTACCAGGAATAATCAACAAGGTCAAAAAGTCAAAAATGAATTGATTTTTGACTTTTTGACCTTGAGAAACTTTGTTGTGTTTTACGTCGAAGTGACATCTGAGCGTATTTTATGAATGGAATAGACGATTGACGTCAATTGTCTATTGACAACTCCGGTCATAATTTTATTTTATTATTTTTAATTCAATGGTTGAATATTTTTGCGTCAATTTTTATTATAACAAGTAAAATCGTTTAAAAAAATAAAAAAAAAAACAAATATTCCCTATTTGGCGTGTTGTATATTGTGTACGGTGCGCAGGCGCAGCAGGTGGCGGTGCGGCTGGAGGGCGACGTGATCACGGCGGACGGCGCCGTGCTGCGCGGCGTGGCGCGCGGCACGCGCCTGCCCGCGCCGCACCACACCGGTAACCTTTACTACCTTTTACCCGCATTCCATTAAAAAAAAAAAACATATATAGACGATTTTTTTTTATCTCACAGATAATGTGGCTTTTTAATGGTGAAAGAATCATTAAAATCTACCCAGTAGTTTTTGAGTTATTTCTTTAAATCCTTCCTCTTTATAATATTAGTATAGATATAGCCTGTGTTACTCACAGATAAATTTCCTTTCTAACAGTAAAAGAGTTTTTAAAATCGGCCCAGTAGTTTTTGAGTTATTTCTATATATGCAAATCTTTCCTCTATAATTTAGTATAGTTTAGTATGGATAGAGAATCAAGTATAAGTTTAAGTTTTAGAATTCAAGTCCATACTAATGTAATATATCTTAACACACTACTTATTTGTGCAGGATGTTAGCAATCACAATATATTTCTGAATAATTATTTTTTTAATAAAAAAAACCCTGCACTTACGAGACAATATGTTTCCAGGATATTAAACTTAGAGATTAAATAGTTTATTTCCATTTTTTCTCCAAATTATTTAATTCCAGAGAAGTAAAAAGTAGTGCAGAAAAATAAAAGACACTTCTGACAAAGATGTGTCATTTACACTTTACTATTCTAATAGACTACTATAGATTTCGACTTAGGAAGTTTGAGTTATAGAAATTCCACTATTTCTAACGAAAAATATTGATCTAAAAGCATTAGAAAGTGTTACGTGGTTTGTCTTAAAAATTGGAAACAAATTAATATTTTTTGCCTTTAAAAATTCTAACACATAAATATTCCTTATTTAATGTATATCTTTTTATTATTTCCAGGCGATACTTCAATGATCCCGTTGTACATAGACGATGATTACGCTCCCAGCGTTTGCAGCTGTTCTTGTAACTGTTTTGCTCCGAACAAGTAAGTTTATTTTCCAATATAAAACCAATAACAATATATCTTCTTGTTATAGCTTACTATAACATATTTTAAACAGATGTAATTTATATTTCAGGTCAATACCGTACAGAGACCCACTATCACCTGTTCCACCGACAAACATAAAGCAAATAAAATCCAAAAATTACCTCGAGTTGGGTGGAATACCGAGATATATAGAAAAAGCTTCATCTAAAAATAGATCCCAGACTCTTCGTCTTAATTCAGCATCAGGCTATCTCTATATGAATGCGAGAAATGATTTTACTCTAGACCCTGAAGATTTTAGAGAAATGGTAGCAAAAAGACGGGAACAATTACGACGCGGTGTTATGATGTATGAAATGAGATGCAATGAACAATATTTAAACCCATACAGAAATAGTCTAAGCACCAGAGTGGAAAGTCCTCATAGTTCTTCGCTTTATTCGATGAATATCAGATCAGATAATCGAAGCAACGATCCGTTAGTCGACGATTACGATTCCGAGAAATCGAGTTACGCGAGAAAAAAACTAATGAGGAACATAGCTCGGAATACCAACAACAAACGAGTAGAAAATTACTTCTACGATGATGCAGTTCTACATTTCGATGATGAATACGCTTTCGATGGATCGATATTATTCGCTAAAAGGAGAAAATCGATTGAAACTAATTGGGATGAATTTGCGTGTGTTATGCCGAAACATCCGGCTTACGAGGACCAAATATCAAATGACGGTAGTTGTGGATATTATCTCCCTGATGACGACCAACAGTATTTCGTGAATGACACCCTCACCTTCAATATGCCACCGCATCGAGCGAGCATATAGTGCCAAAGATTTTGCCAAATTAGTTTTAGTTAATACTAAAATAAACGGGCCAATTAAATTTAACTATACTAGGAAACTTACAATTTTGCGGTAGTTTTGAATTTTGAAGGTTATAGCTTTTTTTAAGGGTGAGTCTAGCGCTTCGCTTGTACATAAGGGATGGAAGAAGTTATGCTGTTTCATATATCACAAAAAGTGTTCATTTAATATGGGCATATAAATATTGTGTGTGTTTAAAAATATTTCGAAGTGAATTTAGTGAATAATTCCTTGATTATTTCAAATTGTGTGCCAAAATTTTCAATCAAGATGCCAAAGGATGAAAAAAATATGTCACAAAAATACGCTCAATTCAAGAACGAATGATTGAACGACCTTTTTTAATCGTTCATAATGATATAAGATATTCTTGGTCGTTGTATGAAACCATTTTGTTTTTTTTTTATTTTTTTTATTCTAATGGCTATTGGTAATATAAAGAAATGTATTAATGTCGAAAAATTTAAATTGCATTTATAAAAAAAAAACATTTGAGCTCAAAGCTTTGCAGTAGAACTGTATTATTTAAATTGTTTCTAGCGCTGTTTGTAACAGTATTTTGTTATTTTTTATAAGGTTGGCAAAATTATAAAAAAATGTTGTTTATTAATAATTTGTTATAATTATAGCTCAAAGCTTTTGTTTCCAAATTCTATAATCCAGTGCCAAAATTAAAAAAGATTGTTGCATTTTATTAAGAACAGGGTAAAAATCTTGTATTGATTCAATCTCTGAATAACACAGCTGTAAGTCTGAAGTTAGCTGCATTCTCGAAGAAAGAGACGGACATATACAAACGCTAAGGTGAGAAAGAGACGACACGATATGACAATGCTGATTACTAAATTCGGATATATTGTGGATCGTATTATGTTTATTGGTTTAAAATTCTTGTGTTATGTGTTTTTGACCGACTTCTCAAAATAAGGAGGTTATTAATTTTTGTTTTCTTTATTTCAGTTTATGAAATTCAATTTAATTTGGATTTGTTTGCAATTTTCGTAAGTCGAATATAAAAAAAAATGTTTAATAAAACTATTATGCTTTAATGTTTATGGCCGTTTTGTACAATATTACTTTGTAGAAAACAACTGATGTATTTTTTGTAGAAATTTTGTTATTTAAAATTAAAAGTTTCTAGTTTTAAGATAAAATAACATCTAAATTCTAAACGGACATTAGTTGCAGTTTTAGACTGAATTCTATTTTTTATTTTGAACATATTTGAGCCAAACAATACAGTATGTAATGAATGGGAATTTTTCCTATTGGGTCGATTGGTAGTTCGATCTGCCCAACGGGAAACACCCGTTTTTATTATTTTCGACCTGTCTAATGCTCAATATTTAATTTTATTATTAATTACAATTGAGTATTGCTTTGTGATAATTTATCTACGTCTTTTTCTAATGATAGTATTATTATTTTAAACTTTTTTAGTTTAAAAATATTGATTTTCAATATTAACTTCAAAAGGCGTTGAAATCTTGATGGTTAAATATTTTTTTTTTCTGATATAATTGTCAGTTGCTCAATTTTATATGTATTTTTGTGTAATTCCAGTATTAATTTATTTCTGTTTATGTGACTATTTTAAAAATCTATATTTTTGTTATTCTACTAAAATGTTTCCATACAATGTTTTCTTTGCTGAATTTGCTATTTTAGGTAGATTTCATTTTCCATGAGATGTTTTTTTTACATTTTTCAGTCTAAATATTATTAGAATTGTATTAGATTCAATTAAAATCCTAAAATAATTATTATCTTGTTTAAAACGAAACGTAAACAATTGAATGTAAACAAAATGAACTAAAACAATTTAGTTATTAAATGATGTTCATAGTTGTAAGGTTATAAGGGAGCTACATATGTAAAAAAACCATAGTTTGTCTATGTTTTATTAATATAAGTTACAAATTTAATTTACTATAATAGTAACGAATTTTAAATTTAAATAACATTTGGTCATCATTTATTTGAGCTTGATTTTTATAGTAGTTTCTCTCCGTTTAATATTTGAGTAAATATTCAATTTTTTTCGTTAAAAAAAGCAAAATCTGTTCTTTAGACACTCGACTGATTGTGTAAGTTAGATCATCTTGTTTCTGTGCATTTCCACTGTCGAAACATGTATAACGACATGTTAACCTCACACAACGATAATTTAGTTGAATTTTGAGGTTAAAGACTAACAGCCTTACAAATAAACGCGCCATAAAGTTAAACTTGGAATAAACTGGGTATAAACTAATATTAGTACAAATTTTACTTATACTCAATTTATTCCTAAAAAACAAATGTAATTATGTTATTTGTCGTTATATGTTCTTAAAAGTTTTTTCCATTTCATGTTTAGAATTGTACGAATCAGTCCCTCTAAAAAAAAAATTGTGATTTTTTACTTTTCGTTTTTCCAGCCAGCGTCAAACCTCTTTATAAATAAATACTCTATAGTTTACTATATTGCATTTTCCAGCTTGTTAATTTTATATTTGTATTTATCATGTATGGAAATGTATGAGATTCCTGTAATTAGATTAGTGTATACTGAATGCTGTGGAGACGGATCGTGCTAAGGCTCTAGGATTGCGGTCAACTAATTGTAACTATAAGATGTAAGTTGTAAGATAAATCGGATTTCATTAAAAAATACACTCAATGTTGGATGTTTTATTTTCAAAGCCAAATTTACATACAAAAAATGCTAAAAACAGATCTAAAAATAGTTGAAACGAAGCAAACTCATTATATAAGAGCCGTAGAACATCATTGATGCAGTTTTCTAATATAAATTAAGCTGATCGCGTTTCTGTTTTAGTGCCATCTAGGTTGTGAAACAGGAAATTGATTTTTATAATTTCAATGTTGTCAACAATGACAGGAGATGGCGTTGTTTTAAATTACATAATCTTGTAAATTGAAGATTTAAATCTGAGGATTTGTTGAATTTATCTTACAAAGGAATTTTTTCTTGCTTAGAAATGAAAAATCACTCTCAATTTTTATTAAAAGTAAAAAATTCACAAAGATCTACATTTTTAAAACTTGGAAAAGATGGTAATAACATTTTTCCCAAATATTAAACTATAATTGCTCAATGTTAAGTGTAGTCCTTTAAGTTTGCGCTAAGATTTATACAGTTTGTATATTCGACGAATTTCAGAATCGACACGTGACATATCATATACAAAATTATGTAGCAAAAGATTGCTAAGGTACGCTTTAAAGTTTCTATTTGTACACAAAATGCTCTGAACCGCTCAAAGTAAAAGGAAATATAAAAGCAACGATTTAAACGTAATTCAAGATGAAAATGGAAACAAAACTGGGCTTTTGAATTCTCGGAATCGTAATAAATTCGAGACGGCGCGGGCTTTTTTAGATATTCACTAAGAATTTAATAAACGCTTAAGAGAGCACACTGTTATTTTCCTTTGAAAGTGGCCAAAGAGAATAGCAAAAGAAAAATGAGAAAGGTGGGTGGGTGCGCCTCCCCGGGCGGGCGCGCTCTTTGAATAAAGAAAAGTTAAAATTTTCTTAAAACACCCCGACTGGTGCGGGGTGAGGGGTGGGCGCTATCTATCTTCGTTTAAGTATTGGCAAAAATGAACCCCCCCTCAAGACTGCGCCCCTTTCCCACCCTAACGGTGTCATTGGTTGATTTTTAAAGATCTGATTCGGGGTCCGATGTTTTTACGAATTAAGTTTTTTAAATTTCCAAATACGTCTACAAAATTCATTACGAAAGTTAAGATGCTGGTCAGTTGTTCAATATAGTTTTTAACGTAAACAAAAATATAAAAATGACAAAATCCAACAATCTCACAAACATCTTTTTTGAACATGTAAGAAAACGTTTGACAGATACACGTTGTCAACAGATTTTTTTATGTCAACAAAGTAAAGTTCGCAAAACATGACCCAGTATAGATTTTCATAAGTCTTTTATCTTTTACAAGCTTCAGATACGTGAAAACTCTTGTGTGAAGAATATGTTCTTTAATTAAATAAGTTGTTGAAAAAATGTAATTTATAAAATTCTAAATTCGACGAAGTTGTTTGTTTTTGTTATACTACTTCTAATAATTACAAAAAATTAGACAAAAATACACCTTAAGAAGCAAAACAATTTACAAAAGGATAATTTGTTCTATCGATTACATAAAATAAAAATTTGTCTGCGTACTCTACGCTCTACTTAACCGAACTTACCGCGATTTAAGTTATTCGAAGTGAGAAGTTTAGCGATTTTAAGTTACGCCTCGGGACAAGAATTTTCACTTCACTTTCACAAGCCGCGGCCGTTGGGATCACTTTGAGTTATGGGTGTAATCGAACTTCGATCTCAACGCATTTACTAGTTATTACCCAGATAATTAAATAATTAGGAGCGACACATAAATAAAATAAAAAAAATTACAAAAATGTTGCGTACACTAAAGAAAAACGTACAATATTAAACACGGGTTTTATAAACCAATTATACAAGTGATCAGTGACCCTGATTAACCTAAAAAAAATAGGGCCTGTCCCACCACTGGCTGATAGACGCTCAGATAGCTTAAAAATGACGTCACAGTCAGAGAAAGTAAGAAAATCCGATATTTCCATCACATATTTTACACGTTGGATTGTTATCAGGCAATTTGCTATTTTGTGGGACAGGGCCTTACAAAAACATAAATGAAACAACACTACTTTTAGAACCATGTTCTAATAGAGCGGATTTATATCTTTTAAATTGAATTGGTTGTCTATTTAACATTGACGGATAACCTAAAAATGAGTAGATCAATCGTATTTAGGTTATTAAAACAATATAAATACATATTCATTGAACAAGGAGAAATGGCTCACATACATTGTTAATTAATTTATTTTGAGTTTTGAAATTGATATAAACCTGTCTGTTTTCAATAAGTCTATGATATAGTGTTGTAAAGTTTTGACTTTAGAGATGTCTTTTTTGAATGCAACAGTCTTTAAACATCAGAGAAGTTATAGTTATATTTGTTATTATATTATTACTTACAAAAGCCTTTGAATTTAATTTAAATTTAAGCTTATGTATATTAAAAAGTAGACTCAAGTATACTTGTTTCACAAATTCATGACTTTTTATTTAATAGATAATGTTAGTTATTGTTATTAAAGTTATTTGTCTCAATACGGCAACAATGTCGGGAAACACGAACGCTTTGGTAGCGTCCGAGCGGCGGAAAATAATTTTATTTAAGTAAAATTGAAAGCGGGCTCGAGTATTTCTTGTACAAATTTTAATATCTCGAGGGGGTAGATACGGCTATTTATATTTTTCCTCCCCATCGTTTCTTTTGGCGATTATTATTCTGTGTTCCGATGGGCCGCGGGAGGGTGGGCCGCCCCTTGGACTCTTTCCTTTTTGCTTCTTAAGTCCATCTTGAGACAGCACAGCGCAATACCTGGAATAGACATCGTAAACTTTTTAAAAAAATATGTTTTTATAATCCATTCTTTTTATTACTTTGGAATGGTTAAAAATTAATGCTTCTACAGTATCATTTTTGTGATAAAATTTTATTTGGTCTGTGACAATTTAAGCATGTATTTATAGTTTAGGTAGTTTTTAGGTTCCTTAGGTATTTATAATTAAATATATTAAGAATTAAGAAGATAGTTATAGTATATAATGATGATGATGATGATACATGTCCAGAAAAAAAACGTAATATAGATTTATTTAAGTTTAGATAAATTAAATAAATTCATCGATAACGACTCAACACATCGACCTATTCTCTGGTTCTGTCACTTACCCCTTTTACTGGAAAAAGCGTGGCACCTACCCGGAAGGGGTTCGATATTTAAATATAAGAAGAACAACCCCCTTTTTTCAAGGGGGTGCTGGCCACCCTGCCGCGGATTTATGGATCTGGCCCCGAGATGGCGCGTAATTACTTATCTTTGAAAATACAAATCAATCGCTCTTTAAAACGTTATCGATAACTTTTATTCACAACAATTTATAGCCACGTAGTGACTCTACTAGGTCAAATATGTTGACAGGATTAGGATGCCACATAAGAGATGTCCCTGACTCTTTTAGCCACATACTTTGATATGTTCACTAAGTTTGATATAATATTCAAATAAATTCTGACGATTTTGACAAATTACTGAACGCGTTACGCTAGACGTTGAATTTAAACACTGCAATATATTAATGTCTGTAACCTTTGTATGAAAAAATACATATTTACAGTGACCAGGTTCAACGTTTATACAATTTTGAGTTCATTTTTAGTTCATAGGCAAACATTTTCCTACTAAACGACCGATGGTTGTTCCGTTAGAGAAGGTTATAATTAGCAATTCTATGAATGGGGACTCTAGTATTGGTAAAGTTCTTTGTTATAATTCTATACTTTTTAGTGATATATCTTTTATTTCTTAAAACAATTTGAAAATTACATGGATTTGTAGCTTAAGTGAGTTGTCTGTTCATCTAATCTTAAGTAATTACATTGGAAGATGATTTACATTTCTTCAAACACTCATAATTTCACTTACCCTATCGAGACAAGAGGGATGAAGTTACAGAAATGTTTATTGTGCAAATGCGCTACGCGTGGAATATTTGATCATCTCTCGAACGATTTTAAAGGCTGGATGTATAAGGCTTTAAAGAAGTTTTTATTTGGTCCAATACAAGACGTGATAGGTAGACGCTAAGATACGCTACATACCAATAAGAGACATTAAGTGGTTAAGTTAGCCTTTTTTAGTTAAATATTCTACTAAAACTACAAGAAGTTATCTTTACTGTCTATTTTATGATTCTAAATGTAGCAGTTTTTAAGCGAAATTTGTTTCAACATTAAAAATGCTTTAAACAAAGCAAACGCTTTAAAGTTGTTTTTTTTAGAACAGACTCGTTCTAAAAAGTAAGTAAAGTATTGACCATTGTTTGAACTATTATAATTATTGATTATTTTTGTATACAGTTCTTTCATTCAAATCGCTCATTATTTTATCATTCCTTCTCATTTGTTTCTTGTAATCAAACATTGTTTGTAGTCGGTAAAGATTCTGTTATATTTGTAAAGTTGTCTGCTTTTCAATTATTTTAATAAATTATTAAAAACAATAAGTTACAAATAAACAAACAAGCTTCAAGACGGTAGAGCGGACAAAAATACAATAGTGAATAAAATAAAACATCTTATAAAGCGGCCGGAGAAGGCGGGAGGGGGCGGCGCTTTTCTTTCTCTCGCCAAAGCTCTCAACGGGACGTTAGGATAGAGTGGATAATATCGAATTACGATGAAAACGAATTCAGAGATAGATTGATTACAATTAAGCTAAGAAATTTGATGTCTGTCAATTTTGAATGTAGTTTATTTAGATCAACTTGTTTATTTAGAACTTCTGTTGATATTATATGTGTCAAGTCCTTAATATTTACGAATTGAACTACTGCTGTATGCATGTTAATCAAAACAAATACAAGAAATATCTTATGTATCTTTCGACTGACGAGTTTTTAATACATTTTCACACACAACGACAAAAATTGCAATATATTAAAATGAAAGTAAAATATGTTCGAAAGAGAAATTATTTTTAAGTAATGCACTTAAGATCAATTTACAATAAGTATATAATTATATTAATTTAAAGTACGTAATACTAATTATGTCGTAGTATTTTTAAAATGTTTTCATGCAAAAGCATGTCCACATTAATCTAACACATAGTTACGTAGCCGGCGAGATGTTTTTTCTCGTTTTATATTAAAATCGGGCGAGTGAAGGAAATTGTCAGACGGATAGGAAATTGGCCGCGCCTCTGGAGTCGTGACCGGTTGGCTCTATCGCTTCATAGTACACTGTACTATGAAGGCTCTATACTCTTGGAGTTTACTTATTGAATGTATTTAAAAAGATAAGCATAAATTTAATGTAACTAAACTGCCTAAATTATTTTAATTTTATTTCTAGGGGGGCAGAGTTTATAGAAAAAGCTATTCATAATTCTTCTATCATTCCAATTTAGTCTCTAGTATGTCCTTCTTTACGTTAACGTGGATTTTCGAACCGATTCCAGGCTATAAAGTCACGGGTTCGAAAACCAATGTTTAAAGTGATTACTCCTTTGTTAGAAAATAAATGTTTTAAACCAAGAAGAATATAACAACGGATAAATTAAAAGTATGTACGAGTACAATTAACTACACTGTAATTACAAAATATATGAATATTCTAGCCTTTAGCTGCAAATTATAAGTGTAATTATAACTTGGTTTCTTCCAACTACAATTTGATTTAGATGTTTGTATAAATAATATACTTTCAGGAATTTTACATACTAACAAATTTGGGACAAATTTAAATATATAGACTTGTACATAATTGACGTTATTTTTCAAATTAATCTTCGATCAAAAATACTTGGTTAAATAGATTATTGTTGTTCAATATAGTTTGAAAAAACTAAGTAACTATGATGGTTTAAAAATGATGAAATAATATAAATCTAAACTACATTTTAATGTTTGTCATAAATCAAAGCACTCACCATCTATTGCATATTATTTTATTCTTCAATGTTATTGCTGGAGACAGATAACAGCCAGCGGAAAGGACCTGCGTCTACACTGCAATGTTCACTGTTTTCGTCTGTTTTGATACAGTAGCGGGAGGAGGGATGGTTCATGTTTTTCTGGTCGTGTATTTATTTTATTTTGAGCGTCATTTCGGCCACGGCTCCCCTTTCTTAGATCGTTTCAGTAGGGCGTCCACTCTTATGATGTTTCTGATTTTCTGAAAAATAAAAAGATTCTGTTTTATTTCCTTAACAAGAATTAACAATCAACTTACTTTGGGTTAACTAATGTTAAATATGATATTTACATGACATTATTGCAAGCGTACTAGAAATTGAATACGGAATAATAAGTAAAGTAAACTTGACATACAAACAAGAATCATTACGAGCTGTCCGAGATATGCAACACAATTCAAATAAATACAAGAGTGATAATAATCGTTAGAAATCTGTACTAATATTATAAAGAGGAAAGATTTGTTTTGGATTTGTATTTATCTCAAACACTCTTTCACCAATAAACAACAACGTCATCAATAAGTAACATAGGCTGCGTTTTTATTATTTTTATATCACGCGGACTAAGTCGCGAGCAACAGCTAGTTGACTTAAAAAATACAAATACGCATTTCAATAATTATAAGCGTATTATAAACAAATCGATTATCAAATTTTAAATGTAGACACAGTAACAAAACATAGTTAATAAGATTTCTTGTCCCTTGTTAATAATTGCAAATGATAATGTGCCAATTACTAACTATTCATACTAACCTATATCATACTAGTTATACTTTATATCTATTAATACTAATATTATGAACAGGAAAGATTTGTATTTTTGTATGTATTGAAATAACTCAAAAACTACTGGGCCGATTGTAAAAATTATTTCACCATTAGAAAGGTAATTTATCTGTGAGTAACATAGGCTTATTATTATTACCAATGTTGATAAACTATTAATAAAATATTAAAATTAAAGATATGTTTTATTCGTTGTGTACACCCTAGCGCCCGGTCCAGTATCCCATCTTTTTGCGAGACTTTCTTCAAATAATTGTATAGATAACGCGGGACAAAGAAACGAACCCCTTCAGCCTGTCACCCCCTTAGGGTGGTGGGGGGGACATTTTTAGCGTCTTCGTCCCTCTTTGATCAGCGCTCTGACGACGCTGTTAAATTATCCGAAAAAAAGATGTCTGCTTACGATTTATAAAAAAATATTAGACATCCTGAGAAAAAATTAAGACAAAAATGTTGCCCAATCTAAATACAACAATTGTTAATAATCAAATGTTAACAACGTAACTATACCAGCAATAGTTACGTATAGGAATATGATTTTTTCATTGAACTCTCTGTATGTGTTACACATATAAACATTCTGCGCTTCTCCAGAAACTATGCCAAATTACTAAGTCCTTTGTGTGCGTAAATGTTTGCAAAGTTTTCGCTTTTCATATAAACACGTAGATGTATTTATTCACAAGTGCACGAAGTAGTTTTATAAAAAAACCTTCGTAACACAAACGCTAACGACTGTATACTGAAACGAATCACAAACACGTCGCTTTGTGATCGCCACTTATGATCTTTATTATTTAAAACCCTGTTACATGTACGTTGTTTCAGTATTCGGCTCAATGTCACTATCATACTAATACTAATATTATAAATGCGAAAGTTTAGACGGATGGATGGATTTTTGTTAGAGTTTGTGGCTTAAACGGCTGAACGCATTTTGATGAAATTTGGTACAGATCTAGAGGATAACTGGAAGAACACATAGGCTACTTGTATTTGTTTTTTTTTTAAATCCGCGCGAACGGAGTCGCGAGCGAAAGCTAGTTTTAAATAAACATACAAAAGTTTCTTTACCATGTGTTTAATGCTCGCGTAATTTAAAACTTTTTTGGTTGTTTAAATTTCTCTTTGTTGAAAGCTAGCCAATTTATAATGATTAGAGTGGACATAGTTAAACTGTCTGCAAAAAAAACTTGTTACACAACATTTTTAGACAATACAAAACAAGATTAAAAATTGTACAACCCTTTCCAAGCAGTATGTCATTACCATTCAAATAAGATCATTTTCTGTTAACCCCCTTTCGTAATGAAACACCGATCACCCTCTTTTTTTACTCGGCCGTGTAAAAAAGAGACATTTATCGAGATCACCGTTGATAGGAAAGGGACAAAAAACGAACCGTCCGTCGAATTTTAATTTTCTTAGTATTTGAATCTTAATTTTTCGCGGGGCGGTCTTCCCTTCTTGTCTCTCGCGCTGCTAGAGACGCTGCCTTTCTTTCACCCCTTTTTTTTAAGGGTGGTGGGTGGCCTTATCTTCCATTGTAGACGGATACCTAAGTATTTTAATTTGTTTCTCGCCGGAGGCCTTCTGTCTGTTTTCTTTTTAATTTGCCTTATTTACAATTAAGTAACGTAGGCTGTGGATATTTAGAGAATTCTGCTTACTAAAGTTTTATAAGCAAATGTACAACTGTATATATTTCAATTTATATACTAGCTTTTGCCCTTGGCTTAATCCGCGCGGTGGTAAAAAAGATTAAAAGTGGTTAATGAGTATTCCTAGACTACCATATGTTCTAAATTTATACTAAATGCAGCTGTTCTGGAGTTACATGGTAACAAATATCCATCCAAAGATAGTAATTTTGTTTAATTTACTTAATATTTGTTTACTAGTTAATTTACAATATCATTCTATGGAAAAAGACATTTCATACTCGCACATCACATAACACGTTTCGGTTTTCTTATTAGTGTTATCTCGTGTTTTCGTTTATAAAACCTATATCGTTATCTCTGTTTTTATTTACGGAAACGAGAGGAATGGAAACCCACGGTTATTTAGCAAGCTATCACGTATATCAGATAGAAGAAACAATAATCCACGTTTGTATGTCACATTCACAGAAATAAATCATTAATTTAATAAAGATCTGTTTGGAATATGAGAATATTTTATTCATTTACGGGTACCCAAAATAAGTATCTTTTTAAATAAATTGATAAATCGTGAGAGAATCATTGACCTTCGTCTTGCTTATTGGGAGAATGTTTATCCTTAGAGGTCTGTATTTACATTGTATATGTAAATTGTATTATAATAAAAAAAATAACACTATTGTAAATCCGGGGCGCGTAGCATCTAATAAATGATTACATAGAATTTAACATAGATAAATGAAAGATATAAAAAAATATCTACTAATATTTATTAATTCTGATTGCTTAATCTACGTCCAGTTCCAACCTAGATATAACTGAAGGCGGGCGAAGCTGAAATTGTCTTAATTTTTCATCTCGGCGACCGGCGCGCCCTCCCCGCATCTCCCGCGACCCACCCCCGCCGCGATCCCGCTCATAATTGTTTTTAATTTAAGAAGGGAATGAGAAACGGTACTTGTGTTGCTACAAGAAAAATTATACTCGTTGCGAGGAAAATTTTGTAGCAATTAAGAAAAAAAAAGTTGTAAATTTTGTTTTTGATTAATTACTTGATAAGGACTGTATATTGTTTAAAAAACGAGAATGACAGTACAAATATTAGAACACAAAAGCATTATAATAATGCTTATTCGATTACTTAAAGTTAATTCATCAACAGCTATAGTGATGGTTTAAAATCAGATTTTTAAATAGGTCTTTCGTAGCGCGGATGCTACGATTTAAAAGCGTTCTACTGCTACGTAAGTCTAAGGCTACGGCGTAGCTTGTAAAGAAGTGCGAGAATTCTTTTAATTGTTGAATTTACTTGTTTTGTATTTTTAACTGTGATTTATTTAAAAAAAATACCCAGTGGTATAGTGGGGCGTTGTGCTGGCTAGCTTCCAGGGGGCTACGTCTGTCTGCCTCCATCCGTTTCCGGACCTAACTCCCAAAAATATGTTTCAATTTTCCTTTAATGTTTTCTTTGCATTTGGCGTCTTAACAATACCGAGACATTTTATATTACCCGTTCGTTAATTTATTACATCCCCGCCGTAATTATCTTCTGCGGGGAAATTTAATTTAGTATTTTTAACTTGGCATTATTTTATTGTACTGTTTATGATGTTTAACATCATTAGTGTAAAAGAAAAAAATGTTTAATTTTTAATGTGAAAATCATCGAAACGGGCCATGAATTTCGCAATTTGTGATGCAGTCAAAAGACATTATGTGCTAGTTTGTAAAGAACCAAACGGTTAAAGTTATGTAAAAGGGTAAAGACTATGTAATCTATGTAATTGAAAGTTATAAATTCCTAATACAAGTTAAAAAAGTATTAAAGAAATAAATGTGTGTTAAAGTAAATAAAAAAAAGTGTGAATAAATTATTTACCCAGTCTAAAAAGTGTACAGATTTTTTAGTAAAACTTTTTTTTACTTAAAGCTTAAGTTGGATTCCATATATAAATCGTTATCTAAGGGACGTTTATTATAAAGTTTAGTTTTTACAAGGGGTCGGCACCCCATTTTATTTTTTATCAGGACAAAATTATAGATATGCGGCACGCGAAAGTACCGGTTAGTTATGAAATTGAAATTTTGAAAAATAATTTTACTTTAGTATTTTACAATTTGATTTTTTAGGTTATATACCTACTCTTGTAAACAAGATTATTTTACAATCAATATTGCGTTTCCATTAATGTTTTTATAATATTACTATTTACAATATTTATATTTATACAACAGCCAAAAATTATTACTACCACTATTACAAACTTTTAATTGGTTATAGTTTAGTTTTAAAAGTTTTAAATCTCTTATTATAATTTTTTACTAAAAAAACTATACATTTGTGGGATGAAATTCCACAGATTGCTTTATCATTCATTAATTTTACCTTAAACTACGATAAATAATAAAATCAACAGTTTGTCATAATTTGTAACTAATTTTTGAAAGCAGTATTTTCGTTACCCTGTATCCGATCTGTTCAACCTCCCTACTAAGGTGGTAACAAAACTTTCGAGCTGCGTCCCCCGCCAACGAAAGGGAGAAAAATAAATCTAAATTGGCGCAATCCTTTGAAATCCCCTACTTTTTCTGCCGCCATTTTCGACGAATAATTGCTGCCAAGCAACTTAAGAAAGTTCCATTTTATTGGAATGAACTACGAACTAATTTAAACTCTGTTACAAAGTAGTAAGTTCGCTTTTCGATAATCAATTCATACCAGATTTAAAAGGGTGATTTAAGAA